AGCCTCGTCTCTAAAACCAAGAAAATCATTTCTGATTCAACCGCATTAATTGATCAGACCAAACAGTTCTCATTGAAACCTTCTGCAGCCAGGCCACCAAGATTATACGGCTTGCCAAAGATACATAAAGAAGATACACCTCTTCGTCCCATTGTCTCTACTATCAACTCCCCCACCTATAAACTGGCTCGTTTTTTGTCTGAAATCCTACGGCCTTTCACTGGAAAAACCACCTCTGCGGTACTAAACTCTACTGACCTGGTATCGACAATCAAGGGGATTGTCCTGTCCCCAGACGACCTGCTTGTCAGTTTTGATGTGGTTTCCTTATTCACCAAAGTTCCTGTACCTGACACCATCGCAATCATTGAAGACTTGGTTCATCAAGGACTGAATGCTGGGGTACCCCCCCTGGTGAGACACTGCTTAACCAATACATACTTCACCTGGAATGGAACTTTCTACAAGCAAACTGAGGGCACCCCAATGGGCTCCCCCCTATCTCCGGTTGTAGCCAACATCTTCATGGAGAAATTTGAAACTGACGCCATCAAGACTGCCACTCTACGCCCGACCTTATGGAAGAGGTACGTAGATGACGCTTTTGTCATCTGGCCACATGGCCGGCCTGCTCTAGACCAATTTCTCGACCACATCAATTCCATACACCCAGCCATCAGATTCACCATGGAAGTCGAAAAAGATGGCAAGCTACCCTTTTTGGATGTCCTAATTAAAAGGAGACCTGATGGTTCAATGAGCCACTCTGTCTACAGGAAAGCCACCCATATGGATGCTTACCTAAAACCGGATTCCCACCACCATCCATCCCAGAAGAATTCCCTCATCAAGACTCTATACCATAGAGCCCAATGCATTTCCGACCAGGAACACATTGGCAGTGAACTCAAACACGTACGCCAAGCTCTTAAGGCTAATGGTTACTCCGACTACACAATCCGCAAGGCCATCACTCCAACCATCAAGAAGGATCCTGTTGAGGAGCCTTTCAAGACCATCACCTTACCCTACATTGCTGGGGTCACAAAAAAGATCTCCAAAATCCCGATTAAACACAAGATCCAGGTACGATTCAACACAGTACATAAAATCCGTGATCTGGTCCCGTCTGTAAAAGATGTGGTTCCAGACATACAGTACCCTGGCGTCTACAAACTAAGTTGCCTCTGTGGTAGCAGTTACATTGGAGAAACCAAACGACATGTCTCGGACCGCATCCGTGAACATAAAGCAGACCTGAAACACGGTAGGACAAACACCTCAGCCGTGGCAGATCACTGTTACAATTCAGTGGGCTCACATGACATTGACTTCTCCAAGACAGAGGTTCTCTGCAAGCCATCTGGCTATCATGAGAGATTCGTTCATGAGGCGATCCACATATACAAACACAGAGACAATTTCAACCGAGAAGATGGATTCTGGCTTAGCAATCATTGGAAGGACGTAATAAACCATTTCGGATCTTAACTGATTGTGTTCACGTTTTACGGTGACGTTCAGACCGCGTTCCACTCACTGGCATGGTGCAGTGTGCAGAGTAATGTATGGTGTCGTAATTATATAGTAAATATATAGCAGTGTGATACACATTAGGGTGGGTAGAATAATACATAGTGTTATATTAAAATGGATAAGGCAGCAACTGCAGCAGCAGCAACTGCAGTAGCAGCAGCAACTGCAGCAGCAGCAGCAACTGCAGCAGCAGCAGCAACTGCAGCAGCAGCAGCAACTGCAGCAGCAGCAGAAACTGCAGCAGCAGCAGAAACTGCAGCAGCAGCAGAAACTGCAGCAGCAGCAGAAACTGCAGCTCCCTTTGATGCTGTTAATCCTGCATAATGCACATGCATATGTAGTACTAATCACATTCCTGCATTTCCCATAAATATGCTAAATTCCTCTTGATATGCGAATTCCTTTGTCAAGGCGCCCAGCTTATATATATATGCTCCAAGCTCGTGTGCTGTTTCATTCAGACTCTGTCGCCTCGACGGACCTGGTTTTTCACCTGAGGACGGCTGCTTGCGTTGTGGCCGAAACGTCGTGAGAATAATTGTATTATGTTTTATTTTTATTATTTCATTACTTCCCTTCTACGTGACTTCACCGAAAGAACCAAGAAGATGAATCCCTGCAGTCACGAAAGCTTTAAATCAAAATTTAACCGCCTCTACGGGGAGGGTTTCCACATAACTTTGAGATCCTTTAACAAGCTCCGGGAAAACAGTTCTCGTTGAAACCTTCTGCAGCCAGGCCACCAAGATTATACGGCTGGCCAAAGATACATAAAGAAGATACACCTCTTCGTCCCATTGTCTCTACTATCAACTCCCCCACCTATAAACTGGCTCGTTTTTTGTCTGAAATCTTACGGCCTTTCACTGGAAAAACCACATCTGCGGTACTAAACTCTACTGACCTGGTATCGACAATCAAGGGGATTGCCCTGTCCCCAGACGACCTGCTTGTCAGTTTTGATGTGGTTTCCTTATTCACCAAAGTTCCTGTACCTGACACCATCGCAATCATTGAAGACTTGGTTCATCAAGGACTGAATGCTGGGGTACCCCCCCCTGGTGAGACACTGCTTAACCAATACATACTTCACCTGGAATGGAACTTTCTACAAGCAAACTGAGGGCACCCCAATGGGCTCCCCCCTATCTCCGGTTGTAGCCAACATCTTCATGGAGAAATTTGAAACTGACGCCATCAAGACTGCCACTCTACGCCCGACCTCATGGAAGAGGTACGTAGATGACACCTTTGTCATCTGGACACATGGCCGGCCTGCTCTAGACCAATTTCTCGACCACATCAATTCCATATACCCAGCCATCAGATTCACCATGGAAGTCGAAAAAGATGGCAAGCTACCCTTTTTGGATGTCCTAATTAAAAGAAGACCTGATGGTTCAATGAGCCACTCTGTCTACAGGAAAGCCACCCATACGGATGCTTACCTAAAACCGGATTCCCACTACCATCCATCCCAGAAGAATTCCCTCATCAAGACTCTATACCATAGAGCCCAATGCATTTCCGACCAGGAACACATTGGCAGTGAACTCAAACACGTACGCCAAGCTCTTAAGGCTAATGGTTACTCCGACTACACAATCCGCAAGGCCATCACTCCAACCATCAAGAAGGATCCTGTTGAGGAGCCTTTCAAAACCATCACCTTACCCTACATTGCTGGGGTCACAAAAAGATCTCCAAAATCCTGATTAAACACAAGATCCAGGTCCGATTCAACACAGTACATAAAATCCGTGATCTGGTCCCGTCTGTAAAAGATGTGGTTCCAGACATACAGTACCCTGGCGTCTACAAACTAAGTTTCCTCTGTGGTAGCAGTTACATTGGAGAAACCAAAAGACATGTCTCGGACCGCATCCGTGAACATAAAGCAGACCTGAAACACGGTAGGACAAACACCTCAGCCGTGGCATATCACTGTTACAATTCAGTGGGCTCACATGACATTGACTTCTCCAAGACAGAGGTTCTCTGCAAGCCATCTGGCTATCATGAGAGATTCGTGTTCACGTTTTACGGTGACTTTCAGACCGCGTTCCACTCACTGGCATGGTGCAGTGTGCAGAGTAATGTATGGTGTCGTAATTATATAGTAAATATATAGCAGTGTGATACACATTAGGGTGGGTAGAATAATACATAGTGTTATATTAAAATGGATAAGGCAGCAACTGCAGCAGCAGCAGCAACTGCAGCAGCAGCAACTGCAGCAGCAGCAGCAACTGCAGCAGCAGCAGCAACTGCAGCAGCAGCAGAAACTGTAGCAGCAGCAGAAACTGTAGCAGCAGCAGAAACTGCAGCAGCAGCAGCAACTGCAGCAGCAGCAGTACCTGCAGCTCCCTTTGATGCTGTTAATCCTGCATAATGCACATGCATATGTAGTACTAATCACATTCCTGCATTTCCCATAAATATGCTAAATTCCTCTTGATATGCGAATTCCTTTGTCAAGGCGCCCAGCTTATATATATGCTCCAAGCTCGTGTGCTGTTTCATTCAGACTCTGTCGCCTCGACGGACCTGGTTTTTCACCTGAGGACGGCTGCTTGCGTTGTGGCCGAAACGTCGTGAGAATAATTTTATTATGTTTTATTTTTATTATTTTATTACTTCCCTTCTACGTGACTTCACCGAAAGAACCAAGATGATGAATCCCTGCAGTCACGAAAGCTTTAAATCAAAATTTAAATGTAGTATACTTAGAAATGTAATGTAATACAACAGAGAGTCGGATAACATAACAGTCAACACCCTACCTGGTTGATTACGTTCTTCCTGAGAATGCTAAATTTGAGAGAGAGATAAAACACAGAACCAGAGACATATAGACAGACATATAAGCAGACAGATGCCTCGACACAGAGGCGTGGTTTCTCTGTGTGCCTATGTTTTGTCTCTCTCTATGTATCTTTGTGATATATGTCTGCTTATATGTCTGTCTATATGTCTCTGGTTCTGTGTTTTATCTCTCTCTCAAATTTAGCATTCTCAGGAAGAACGTAATCAACCAGGTAGGGTGTTGACTGTTATGTTATCCGACTCTCTGTTGTATTACATTACATTTCTAAGTATACTAGATTTGTGTTTCTATTTCATTTATACCTGATGATGATTGCTTGTGTTGCAATCGAAACGTCGTATGCTCGTATTTAATTTATTATTTTCTCTTTATACGTGACTTTACCGAAAGAACCAAAGAGTGATGATGATTGCTTGTGTTGCAATGGAAACGTCGTATGCTAGTATTTAATTTATTATTTTATTTTTATACGTGACTTTACCGAAAGAACCAAAGAGTAATTCCTGCAGCCACGAAAGCTCCAAATTAAGTTTAATAACAATAGACACCTACGGGGCTATCTGCACACGGATCGTGATGATGATTAATTTAGAGTCACGGAATCGATTCGTAAGAGTTTTCCTCACGTGGAGTCGCTCCGTCGATTCCCGCGGCCTTGGGAACTCGGCGCTGGCGGCCCAAGTGGCTCTGTCTCAGGCCAGCGCCGCTCTTGCGTTGCGACGAGTCCCCGGTCCCCTGGTCCCCGAGTCCATGGATGGGTCCCAGAGTGTCCGGGTCGCCGAGTCTGAGTCCCTCACTCTGAGTTGGTGGCTGCATTGAGCAGCAGCAACACCAACAACAAGGCAGCGCAGAGCGGGCCTGCAGTAAGTGTCGCCTCTGCGCGGATAGTAACACTGGCTACCCAGCACGTGTAGCTCACCACGTACACTCACCACGTGTAACTCACCACGTGTAGCCACCACGTACACTCGCCACGTGTAGCTCACCACGTACACTCACCACGTGTAGCTCACCACGTACACTCACCACGTGTAACTCACCACGTACACTCGCCACGTGTAGCCACCACGTACACTCGCCACGTGTAACTCACCACGTACACTCACCACGTGTAGCTCACCACGTACACTCGCCACGTGTAGCTCACCACGTACACTCGCCACGTGTAGCTCACCACGTACACTCGCCACGTGTAGCTCACCACGTACACTCACCACGTACACTCACCACGTGTAACTCACCACGTACACTCACCACGTGTAGCCACCACGTACACCTCACCACGTGTAACTCACCACGTACACTCACCACGTGTAACTCACCACGTACACTCACCACGTGTAACTCACCACATACACTCACCACGTGTAACTCACCACGTACACTCACCACGTGTAGCTCACCATGTACACTCACCACGTGTAACTCACCACGTACACTCACCACGTGTAGCTCACCATGTACACTCACCACGTGTAACTCACCACGTACACTCACCACGTGTAGCTCACCACGTACTTACTGCGTAAAGCTCACCACGTAGAGTCGATATTGGTGGATGGAGGTGGTTGGTGTTGGCGGTGGTTGTTTGGGTCCGAGTTCAGTGGCGTTGTGCACGTAGTAACCTTGCTTAGCCCTCCATTGCGCGGGCATTGAGAAGAGATCATCAGTGACGAGGGGTGTTGAGAATCGATTGCCGGTTCCAGTGTGATGTGAGTAAGAGGAGGCGGTCGTACCCACACTTTACCCCCCGCACGCGACCTGCTTTCTGATCAACTAACTCGGGGGGTCGGCAACCTGCGTTACTTATTATTTTGGTTGCCGACCCCTGGACTAACTGGTGCAGTAACATCCATACAGCTTTGCTGGCCGGATGAGGGTCAGGGTGTTTAGCATGGTTGGCTACGCACGGTGTGAAAGAAGTTGAACGTACACCTGCTGTTGCGTGGTGTAACGGGGCGGGTTACTGCACAGCGCATAAGGCCTTTGGAAGTTGCCACTTGATTGAGCATGGCTGTGTCGCAAGGAGGAGTTGGGAATGGACGTGCCATTCCACTGCGGCTGCACCACGCCGCCCCTGCTGCAGCAGCACAGCTGGAGAGCGAGGAGTAGCTTAAAGTGGCACCTCAGCCTCAATGTCGACACGAGGCTCGGAGGTGAGAATAACCCTGGTAACCAGGCAGGCACCCCAGTGCCGTCAAGGGCCCCCTTGAATTGCCTCGCTCTACCTGCTGAGCACAGCCTCTGCGTCTGCCGCTGGGTTGGCAAAAATCGTGTTTTGCATTCCCATAATCAACGTTTTTGGGTTTAGATCGCGTTATTTATAAATGTGTCGTAACCCTCCACCACCCGACACGGCCAATCAGTAAAAAAGTGTCACGTTGACAAATACAAATAGTTCACTGCTTTAGCCCACCGGTGTGTTGAAGCCACAACATTTACAATTTGAGTACGACGTTTCGCTGGTAATTGCGGTTTTTAAAATTTATTCAGTATCTCGGCGGTGACAACAAACCGAAACCCGAGGGGGCACCCCTTCACTCGCGCCCTTAAGGTCCCGCTCAGTCACCGACCCATCCTCTGGGCCGGGATCACCCGTGCCACAGCATCGGAGAGGAAGCCTCCCCTTTCCGCCACGCACACCTTCACCCCCGGATGCCGGCGAGGACCTCCCCCCCCCGCCCTAGCCCACCCTGGGCAGCGGCCACTTCCATCGTTCCCTTGCGGCCTCGCGCCCCATTTTCTCTTGGTCCATCTCTACTACCCTTTTCAACAGACTCCTCGCAACATAACATGTCTCCAACGGGGACATCAGGGACCCCTCCAGTCCCTTCTTACGCGCTTTCCACAGCGCCTCTTTCGTCGCTCCTATTACAGCCCACACCCGGTCCCTGTCCTCCCTCCCCACCCCCCGCAGCTCTCCCCACATGACGTCCCGCGTCGTCACCCTTGATAGGGCGAAACGGGCCAGCAACGGCTTACTCCTCCTCCAGACTTCCTGGGCGAAAGGGCACGCCACCATCACATGCGCCGCAGTTTCATCCGCGTTGCAGCCCCTCGGGCACTTGGGGGTATGCGCCATTTGGCGGCTGTACAGGAAACCCCGCGTCTCCAACCTGTCTCGGACAGCCAGCCATGACAGGTCCCGCTGCTCCTTCGTGAGCACTGCTGACATCACATTCCTCCAAATCTTCCCGTGCGTCTCCCTCCTCGCACCGGCCACCTCGTCACAGGCCTCTTCCTTCTCCGCCGCGGCCCGCACCTCCCTGGGGGCCCACCGACCCCCCCACCGGCTCAGGCCGTGCTGCCTGACGTAGCTCCCCACCACGTCGCTAACCCCATTCCCCGGCCAGTCCATAGGGGTGTTCCTTCCTGCCTCAGTCATCCCGAGCCCCCGCAACCGCCACGTCAGTCGGTACCTCATATACCACGCTGCCTTGCCCCGCGGCTCCGCAGAGAAGAACAGCCGCAGCGCATTGCAGACAAAGGTCGATTGCAGGGTATACCCCACATTTGGGGCACCCCTCCCCCCCTTCTGGACCTGCAGACACATCACGGCCCTCCTCACCCTTTCCATCCCTCCCCCCCAAATAAACCTGAAGATCGCCGTGGTCAAGGCCTTAACCTCCCTCCCATCTGGCGGGAACACCTGCGCCAAGTAGTTTAGGGGTGGTAATATTTCTGTTTTAACCACCATAATTCTACCGGCCATCGTGAGCCGCCTCCCAGCCCACTTACCCAGGCAGCCCATTGCCTTCCTCACCCCCTTCTCCCAGTTACCTTCCCCCATCCTATCCCCACCGAAAACCACCCCCAGTAACTTTATCCCCTCTGTTTGTAGACTCAGCTCCGGCGGCCGACCCTCGAAAAGCCTTGGGTCTCCAAAAACCATAAGCTGACTTTTCCCCACACTGACCTTCAATCCGGAGGCCGCGCAGAACCTCCCCATCCCCTCCATTGCCCTCCATACCGATGCCACGTCCCTGCATAGCACGGCCACGTCGTCCATGTACAGGGTCACCTTTCCCTGCTCCTTGCACCCCGGTATTACCACCCCCCCAATCCTCTGATCATTCCTTATCATCTGCGCCAGCGGCTCCATGCACATGACAAATAGCACTGGGGACATCGGGCATCCCTGCCGCACCCCCGATCCCACTGGGATGATCCCGGAGCATTCCCCATTTATCAGGAGCCTAGCCCTGAGCCCCCCATAAAGTCGCTTCACCCACTCCACCAGGGGCCCGCACACCCCCATCCTCTCCATCACCGCCAGCATGAATTCATGAGAGAGGCGGTCGAAGGCCTTGTCCAGGTCCAGGCTTAGGATCCCCAACGGGCACCCCCTCTCTCTCTCGCCTTCAATCGCCTCCCTCAAGACCACCAAAGTGTCCGCGATCCTCCTCCCCGGGACCGCACACGTCTGGTCCGGCCCCACCACCTCTCCCACCACCTTCCCCAGTCGCCCCGCCACCACCCTTGCCACGATCTTATAGTCCGCGTTCAGGAGGGTTATTGGCCTCCAACTTCCCAGGTCCCTACGCTCCCCCTTCCCTTTATAAATCAGTGTCACCAGGCCCTCCTGCATGTCGTCCGGTACCTGCCCTTCCTCCAACGTTTCCCTACAAATTTGCACAACATCCTCCTTCAGGAGTTCCCAGAATTTTATGTAAAAGTCCGCCGGGATCCCGTCCGGGCCTGGGGTCCTGTTCTTGTTCAGCCCCTTCACCGCCCCTTCCACTTCCTCCCATTGTATCCTCTCCCCTAGCGCCTCCGGGTTCTCAACCCTCTTCCCCAATGCTCCCAGCAGCTCCTCCCGCCGCCCCCCATCTATCCCTTTACTTTTATACAATTCCCCATAAAAGTCCTCCGCTACACTAATCATCCCTTCCGTCGTCACCTGTCTACCCCTAGTAGGACTAACCAGCTCCCTCATTTCATTGTCTCCCTCCCTACCCGCCTTAAGGAAAAATCGTGTACACTGCTCCCTATCCTCTGTTGCCCTGACCCTCGCCCTATACACTAATTGCCTAGCCCTCTTTTCCAGGACTGAGGCTACCCTCCCCTTCATCTCCGCTATCCTTTCTGCCACCGGGAACCCTAGCTCCAGCAGCCCATACAACCTTTCTAACCTAGCGTTCCATTGTCTCAACTCCCTACCCACCCCCTTTCTTCTACTGTAACACTGAAAGAACTTCCTGATCCTACACTTTACATGCCCCCACCACTCCACCCTCGTGGGGAAGCACACCTGCAGCGTCCTCCAGTTGGCATACGCTCGCTTGAAATCCTCCACCAACTCCTGCTCCGCCAGCAAGCCTACATTCATCTTCCACACTCCCTTCCCCCTCTCCACCACCCCTGGGATCACAAGCCCCGCCACCACCATTCTATGATCCGAGAGGGGGAAAGGTTCCACCCCCGCGCTGCCCACGTTTACCTTGTCGGAAACGAAGATAAAGTCAATGCGAGACTGTGTTCCCCCACTCTTGTCCGCCCACGTGAAACCTGGCCGCGTGCCGTGCACCCTCCTGAACGTATCCACCATCCCAAAGGTCCCCATCAGCTCCCTCAGTTCCCTGGAAGAGGAATCCAACTTCCTCCTCCCCTTCACCGACACCAGGTCCGCCAGGCCTAACGGGCAATTAAAATCGCCCCCCACGATGACCTGCCTCCTAGTGGCCAGTAGGCCCGCCAGGCTCTCCCACACCTCCTTCCTTTCCATGCACCGTACCGGGGCGTACACGTTTATCAGCCGAAGCTGCACGCCCTGGTAAGTAGCGTCTAGACAGAGAAGCCGACCCGGTATTATTTCCTGGGTCCCTTCTACACTCATTCCCCGTCTTCCTAGGAGGGTGACCAC